ATGCTACAAAATCTTTCAAAAACTTTCGGAAAGCGAACAATTCAAAGTACAACGTATTTGATAATACTTGGATCATAAGCAAACGATACTCGTGGTCAGTTTCAGGTAACACACTCATCAGTCATGAATCCCATCAATTAGAAGCAAGCAACCATCAAGCGAAGCTAGATAGGAGCTTCGAATTCCAAGCAAGAACCATTGATTGAGCTTAGCCAACTGAGATCATGATCTTATTTGCCAGGCATTTTTAGCTACAATTTTCCAGGAAAACACTTTCACGTAGATAATATATATCTATCCAACGACAAATTAAAAGAGTACAAAAAAGATAAATTACCAAAATTTACTCTTGTTCATGTTCTCAAGGAGGCAAAAGAGATACTACAGCTATCGAAGCTAACAGTTTAGCTGCCGAAAGTCAAAAACTTAAATAAACAATTAACTAGTTCAATTCGAACTCAACAATTTCTATCTAACAGAACTTCAAGTGAAAATGGAATCAACTCAAAAGTGGTTTTCACTCCCAGCCAGTGGCCGGCAGAAGGAACAGCAGCAGCAAGACCTGCTGGCGGAGGGGCCGCAGCATCCCATCCATCAGCTGCTATTGGAGCTGTTCATGTAAAGAAAAGAAAAAAAACAAAGAATAAGCAAAAGAATATCATTGGAGGTCCTATAGAAAGTAATAAACTGATTATTACACAGCAGAAATGGAACCTTCAACAAACTGATTGAGGCATATTCAGATATGATTTGTCTTAGTTGTGATTGATAGATTGTTCTAACAACAATCCAGGATTCATTGAAATTCAAGCATGAAAACACATTTTCACTAAGCACCAATTCTTTCTATTAAATGTCTTCATGCTAGTTGAATTTATGCACTCTAGAAACAAAACATGCCATGACACAACTTTTATGGTAATTCCTTTCTTAAATTAGAAGGTTTGGGCACACAATTGCCAATAGAGAGGTATCTGTGATAGAAATTCTACAAAAGAAAAGGACGAGTTCACACAAATTTACGTGAAAGGCAGGCAGAATAGCATAGTAAGCATGGTTATTTTGAATGCCAAATTATGCATCAGGAACTATATACAAATCCTGCCTCTCTAGATCTAAGTATAAAACTTTGCTATAAAGGACACGACAGCAAAAACAAATTGTTTCCAGAGCACAAGTACACAATCTTACCCTCAAAATACATGTTACTACTTGAAATATATCCACATGAAAAAAAATCAAAGGAAAAGCTATTGAGAAATCATTGCAAGTAACTGACCTGAAGCTGCAGCCCAATCAGCACCAGCAGCAGGAACTGCAGAAACAGGGACACCTGCTCCCATGTCCGCCCATTGATCTGAAGTCCACTGGTCGGCTGCTCCCATCCCATTGAATTCAGCCACAGCACCAAAATCAGGAGCAACAGGAGCCTCTGCTTCTTCCTGCTCCTTAGTCTCCTCAGGGTCTCTAAAGAAGAACAGGTCAACCTGCCCCCACAGCACCCAGTAAAAACAAAAACGCGAACACAAATCTGATATATTTGCTCAACTACATACGGAACAAAGAGACAACAAGGACTTACCATCACTTCCCATTTGTGTGCAGGAGCAATTGTGCCACGCATCTGAAGCACCATCCTGGCCAACAACCAGAAAAGGCAACCAATACTGTGCTTCCCTTTGTTGTTGGCTGGGATTCCAATATCAACAAACCGCATCGGTGAATCAGTGTCACAAAAAGCAATAGTCGGAATATTTCCAAGAGCAGACTCCTTGATTGGCTGCGTACATTTTGAATGTTAAAACACTGAGGGAAGGACTTCAGAATGACCAACCATGAATAGTGACTATTGTAATATTAACCTGGTGGTCTGTTCTTGGGTCGGTAAGAATGAGGAGGCGAGGCTCACTGAATGATGTCTGCATTTGATTAGTGAAGGTTCCAGGTGTGTGCCTCCCTGCAATTGGATGAGCACCAGTGTATTGTGCAAATTTCAAGACAGCCCTTTGCCCATATGGCCTTGCCGACTGAACGATTATATCCTGAGGGTTTTCAATGGCAACGATAACTCTGGCAGCAAGCTGAAGTTTTTCCCAGGTTTTGCCAAGATTGATGATGTAGATACCTAGATTGTGTAAAAAGAGAGATTGAGATACGACACGAAATAACAATATAAATATCTTCGTATAAATATCAGCGGCACTATCCAAAATATATCTAGTGAAAAATAAATAAGCCCACCAAGGTGAATATGGCCCAATTATGAATTACTCGTGACATAACCGTACATAAAGTTCCAATTGGGTTACTACACACAGGTAATAAAACCCATAATCCTAAGTCGATAATTACAACTGGCAATTTCTGCAGGTCAAAAATTAAAGGGAATTTACAACACTCGCAATCAAAATAGATTCAGCAATACAAATGGAAAAGTTAGTCCATTCAAGATTGAATATATGGGCAAACTTAGAGAACTCAAAAGGACACTTGTAAAGGACAAAAGAAAACAACTTCAGACCATTAACAAACTTATAATTTACATTGATCCCATAACATCTAATTCTCCTCTCTGCATGAAAAACACAAACTCAAATTCGACTTTTCAATGGATGTGATCTCCTAACCGAAAACCTAATAGCTGGGTCAAAGAATGTAACTTTTACAAGATAAATAAAAATCAAATATTTCCCTTCGCCGTGTTGAGGTCAATTACCTAATATATGATAATGCATGGTATAACAAAGCTCTGGCTTTTATAACAAAACTACACAAGTTTATAGTCTCATTATACATAAAGAATAAATCTTGCAACGTAAAGTAACATTCCCATACGCTAAATGAGCACAAAAACCAACTTTTCCGGTCGTCTTTGTACCAAGTTATCCGATTTATGACAGATCACAACAAAAAGCGAGGATCTAGGAGAAAAAGATGAGATTTTTGGGAGAGAAATTTGCATCACCGTCAGATCTACGCTTGTAAACGTAGCGCTCCATTTGGAAATCGCAGTTCTTTGTGCCGAGGTGAACGTCGGCGGCGAGCATCATTTGAATGTCCTGCTCCCTCTGGGATAGAGCACGAGCCGCCATTGCTCTCCAATTACAAAACCCTAGATCGCGAGATAGGGGCTGAGGGCGTTAGGGTTCGGGTTCGTCGAAGTTTGAGGAGGCGGGTGAAAGAGGCGAGGGATGTGGAGTTTTGGTTTTTATATAGGAGCAAAACCCTAGGGGTACCTGGATGTACTAAATTACCCCTGACATCATAGCCGTGTTTTTTAACGTGAAGATTTGATCATGTGTGCGGGCTGAATGGGCCTGTGGCTTGGGCTTCCATCTAATTAGTTTTAGCTGCACTATTCAAACTTCAAAGTTATCGGGTTTACGCTAGCAGAGCCTTCTGTTTCTACTGCGTAGCCTAGTTATGGCTAGATTTAAATTTTGTAGAAAACATATTGCAAGGAATTTTATTAATTAGAAGATTACTGTCCTGTTATCAGGTCACTATGAAGCAAATAAGAAAATATAGATTATTTTGCAGTTTTGGATAAACAAATACTTGATTCCCATTATAAAAAAAAGTTGTACCAAAATATGCAATTCCAACGACGTACTCTGCGCTTAACCAAACACCGGATTTAGATTTGGAAATAAAAACTCCATATATTCAAATAATAATATTGAGAGCAATTTTCTGGAATAGATGTTGCATATGTTATTGCATTTGCGATTACAACACACCAAAAAAGCCCTTGATATGGACTCTTGAAGGGCGTGAAACTAGAAATAAAATTTGCTCTTCAGCATATAAACCTTTTATCAATGTCCGTGAATATTCTAATGATAAACACATATCCCCTATCTCTATCTAATAATGTTGAATTTTTTTTTTATATTTTACTAAAATTTTGGATATCTGCGACGAGATGTGGTAACTATCAGTAGGTCTGGAAACGAATCCAAATAATATCCTCATGAATGGAATACATTGGCATCCATTTCCACAAACCAGTAGGGGTGCCAAACCGTATCCGTATCCGAGGAAATATCTGTAACCGTATCTGTTAGGATACGAATATGGTTACTCAAATCAATTACCGATAGGATATGGTTGCGGATATGGTTTTGTAGTGAAATATCTGTATCCGTATCCGAAAATATCCGAATACATATTGGTAATACTCTTACGATAGTTTCGATTCTTACATTATGGATTTGTGGTTAATTTTGATGATCAAGATGTCTAATCTTAACTTTTCAATCATAATAAACATATTAACAAACTCTTTTTGTATCACATGACTATATTTTTCTGAATACTATCTAGTTTTCTCATGTCCTTTTTGTATCTGCATGCATATCCGTTTATATATCCGCGTACATATCCGTAACCGTATTCGATTTTCGCGGATAAGGATATGAATTTTTCTTACCGACGTATATCCGTATCCGTATCCGTATCCGAGATGGATAAGCGGATATGGATATGGTAAGTGTCATATCCGAGCCGTATCCGCTCCGTTAACACCCCTACAAACGAGTATGTATATGTGCGTCTTTAATACTCCGAATTTGCTTATATTATATATCTGCTTATCTTTCTATTATTTGTTACTTCTAGATATAACCCCTCCATTATGGCAGCAGCCTTCACAAATTTATTAAGCGAAAGGAAAATGATAATTGTATTAGAAGTTGTATACTAGTTTTGTAATATCACTAACAATTGTGTACTAGTTTTGTAATATCACTAATAAATGTGTGGAGTCCTTTCTTGAAAATTGTGAAGAAAAATTATGAATTACTATGGGCCCATTCTTTTATTAATGATCATATCATATCATATCATATATTTCTCTTTAAAAGCACGAGTTCGGAAAAATCTTTCGGTAGATAAAAATACAATTGGAATTCAAATATTGTTCCATTAAGTAAAAATAAGTTGATATATTGATGAATCCTTAATTGGATATATATAGTATGAAGATAATGATACAGTTTAAATTGAAATGTAAATCTAAATAAAATTATTAAATGTTAAATTTGTAAATGTCTATAAAATGAAGGGCGTATATGCAAAAACCAAATAAATTAATGAGACAAATAATGTCTACCCCAAAAGTCAAACCCAGGAACAATGTAGACCTACAAATGTACATAATGTGGATGTGATATTTACAAAATCCACCAAATAAATTAAAGAGACAAAAGTCATTCTCAAAATTATAAAAAAAAATTAAGAAAAACAAAAATCATACTCCCTTTAAAAGCACGAGTTCAGGAAAAGATTTCCATAGTCAAAATTACCTTGTACTATTTTAAATATTTAATTTAAATTATAATCTATCCTAATCATACTTATATCCTATCTTAATACCCCATGAACTATCTAGGTCGACAATTTAAATAAGATTAATAAAATATATGAAATAGTTCTGTAGTATCAATTTATTACATGAAGTATTATAAAAAAAAGCAAAAAGTTTTAAACATCATACTCCCTTTAAAAACACGAGTTCGGAAAAATCTTTCAGTAAACAAAAATACCATTGGAATTCAAATATTATTCCATAAATAAGAGTAAGTTGATAAATTAATGAATCTTTATTGGATATACATAGTATGAAGATAATGATATAGTTTAAATTAAAATGTAAATCTAAATAAAATTATTAAATACCAAATTTACAAATATCTACAAAATGAAGGGCATATATGAAAAAAACAAATAAATTAATGAGATAAATAATGTCTACCCCAAAGGTCGAACCCAGGAACAACGTAGACCTACAAATATACATAATGTGGATGTGATATTTACAAAATCCACCAAACAAATTAAAGAGACAAAAGTCATTCTCATAATTATTAAAAAAATAAGGAAAACAAAAATCATACTCCATTTAAAAGCACGAATTCGGGAAAAGATTTCCATAGTCAATATTTAATTTAAATTATAATATATCCTAATAATACTTATATCATATCCTAATACCCCATGAACTATCTATAGCTCAACAATTTAAATAAGATTAATAAAATATATGAAATAGCTCTGTAGTATCAGTTTATTACATGAAGTATTACAAAAAAAGCAAAAAGTTTAAAAAATCATAGTCCCTTTAAAAAGAGACAAAAGTCATTCTCAAAATTATAAAAAAATTTAAGGAAAATAAAAATCATACTCCTTTAAAAGCACGAGTTCGGGAAAAGGTTTCCATAGTCAAAATTACCATGTATTATTTTAAATATTTAATTTAAATTATAATCTATCCTAATCATACTTATATCTTATCCTAATACCCCATGAACTATTTATATCTCAACAATTTAAATAGGATTTATAAAATATATGAAACAACTCTGTAGTATCAGTTTTTACATGAAGTGTTACAAAAAAGCAAATTTTTTTAAAAATTAGACAAAATACTCTCAAAAGTTTAAAATTACACAAAATAAAAAACTAAAAATTTAAAAATTGGAAAATAAAAAAGTAATTGTGTGATATTCTTTCATTAAGATATATAAATATAACTTATAATTTAAGGTTTACTTTCCCTTTTCAAAATCTGAAAACAGTTAAGTTGATACTGGTAAAAAAATAGTAATAATAACAGATTAAAAATATCTAGTTAAAAAATTAAAATTTAAAAATATATGATAGATTAAAAATTAAAGTTATTATATAAATTAAAGCAACTGTGTATAATTTTACTAATATGTTAAGAGCAACAAAAATTATCATTAATTGATAGATGACAAAATCGTAAAAAACTAATAAAATACTATAATATAATAGCTTAGCATTAATTGATTATAATTTATAAATATTAATCTCTAATGATAATAATATTTATAGGATAAAAAATTATAAAGATTTATGTATAGAGAACTATTAGAAAATTTAGAGATATCCTTCAAAAGAATCAAGCAGATTTCATTTCAAATGGAATTCAGAACGTTCATGAATTACCTCAATTAACACTAACATAAGTTATATTTATCAAAGAAACGCCGATTTAATACCCCTTGAAGAATATATAGAATAACTTTGTTCCAATCAAAGAAACATTCTTCATGGAAGATAAAAAAAAATACTATGTCATGACTTTGCGTAAATATAAAATCGCCTTTTTTCTTTTTCTTATATAGTATCACGACACTGCGTGTGACTTTATTTAGAGGTATGACTACTAACGTATGATCAATTCTTAAAGACATAATCAAAGATAATGATGTAATAACATTATTAGAATTCAAGATCTCTAAATATGAAGGTAGTATATTTCATTACTAAAATTCTTATTAAAGGCCACTAAATATAAAACTCACCTTATATCTATCTCAAATATAAAATTCACCTTATATTTATCTCAAATATATAGAGGAGATATGAATATCATCGTAAATTGCGTCAATAATATATATCAATCCAAAGATACAACTTACTGAAAAAATAAAAGAATAGTAAGTAAACCAAGCAAACATCCATATAACACCGTAAAGAAAAAAAAATATATTTTAAAGCTAATATGCAACGCTTTTTTAGAGTAAGCTACCAAGACAAAAGCATCACCATTAAGGCTCTTTATAAATACAACAGAAATTAAAATTACTAATATATACAACCATTATAGTATTTGAAAGAGGTATGATTTTAGAAAACCTACTCTAAAATTCATACAATTAAACCTAAGAATATTTATCAATATACAGACACACTATTGCACATTTAAGACAATGATAACTACCATTTATAATAGAGTTGAGCAGTGGTTCTATGTTTGCAAAGGCTACAACAAGAAAGTGGATAGAGATGTTAATAATAAGTGTCCAGATGATAAATATTATAGAATCGCCGATGATATAGTACTAAGGTTAATTGATATCCCATTTTCATGAATTAAATATATCAAAAATTAAATATTAATATTATAAGCTAAAGCAAATTGACAATAAAAAATATAATATATTTAGTTCAGACCCTGATCATGAAAAATAACACAGACAGAGCAAATGTAACATTATGACACAACAGAAATTCTTATTAGATGCAAAACATAAGAATTTATTGCAGAGAAAAAAGAGGTAGCTAGCTTCTAACCTTATTTAAGTAATAAATTAAAAGCACAAAAAATTTCATATATATGAAATTAACATTTATTCTTAACCTTATTTAAGTAATAAATTAAAAG